TATGGTCCATTCTCTCGGTGTGAAAACTCCTTTTTTAATGGGAGGAAGAAACTACTACAAGTGAGTGTGTGTGTGTGTGGATATAGTGATATGGTCCTTTTCTCGATGTGAAAAACATTACCACTTCAGATTTTGACATGTACTTGTCCCATTGAGAGTTTGGTAATACTATTGATTACATAAGATAGAAAAAGATTATATTGCTGCAGTGATCTCTATGGCGTCGAATGCTGGTTAGTTTAACTGTCAAGCATTACTGTCCGTAAGGTTATTGCATGTGTATTTATTACCCATGCACATATTAGGGTTTCTGTCTCCAGTTTATTATGCAAGATTTGATGGTTACGATATTATAAATTCAACAGACAACAATCCTCAAGGTTAAATAGTCTCCTAAGAGGTATTTTCTTGAGGCTCTGGTTAGGCTGAACGCCTCCTACTGCAACATCTGTACTACTCAGAGAATCATTGAATTAGGCCTATGTTGGCAAGTTGGTAATACGCAATCAATTATCAATAACGATCCATGGATTCCTACTCTATCACTGTTCCGTCCTTTCTCCCTTATGCCTTTAGGTTGTAATCCTACTACGGTCAGTGATCATATCAACCCCACCACCAAATCTTGAAGAATTGATCTTTTAAAATCTTTCTTCTCTATCATGGAAGTGGATACGACTTGATCTATCCCCCTGAATATTCACTCCCCCTTCCCCCATTCGTTGGTGTGGCACTTTGAAAAGAAAGGCAAATGGTGAGGCATTTTCCTCATCCATCCCCAACCTTATTGGCAACTTTTGGGACATATTATGGAAGGCTAATGTCCATCCCAAAGTAAAATCCTATGCCTAGAGAACTTGTAACAATTATGTCCCTACTTGGTCCAATCTTGGATATAGGCACATCACTTCCAACTTGCAATGCGTCTTGTGCAACCACCCAAATGAACTCATGTTGCATCTCCTGAAGGAAGCCTATATGCTAAATGTGCATGGCTCTCGTTCCCCCTAGACATCCTTCTAAAAGGTCTCACCCCTCCCTCCCCGTTAGCATGGGCCATGGATACTGCTGAGAACATCCCCTCGAGTAGTTTCGATGTTTTCTCATGATATATTGAATGATATGGGGAGCTCGAAACTCGAAACTTTGGACCGAAACCTATGAGGCCCCGGATGTAACTGTGGTCCAAAGTCTTCATTGGTGGCATGACTTTGTCCATATCTCCTTTGCCATTTCTTAGACAGCACGACACCCTCCCTTTCCACCAAAATGGTTTTGCCCCTCCCTCAGACAAACTGAAAATAAACATTGACGGAGCATGGATTATGGCCAATAATCTAGGTGGCTTCAGGGGAATTGTTTGTGATGAAATGAGCTGCTTCTTGGCTACAAAATGTGGCCACTTTGTTAATGTCTTCTCTCTGCTGACAAGTAGAGAAGGTATGGTCTGGGAATTATGTAAGGGGTCAAAACATTGTATTTGAATTCAACTCACTTCAGATTGTGAAGGCTTGAAAGATCCTTCCACCAACTTGTCCCCAATTGGCCAGCTTGTTGAAGATATCAAGGCTCTTCTCTTTTTAATCATTGAAGCTTCATTCACCCATACACGTCGCCAAACCAACGGTGTTATTCATCGGCTTGCTCAAATTGGTGTTCCATCTAGTCAATCTAGCGAATGGTTTAACTCTCTCCACATCCCACCCATCCCCCCCCCCCCCCCCCCCCCCCCCCCCCCCCCCCAAACACCACCACCCAAAACCCACCCCAAAAAAAAAGAAGTATAATTGTTGATTTACTTGTTGAGGACACTGTATTGCCTTAGTTGACTTCTTGTAGTACTTTTGGAATCATTCAATCTACTATCGTTTCATTTAAATAAATAAAAAAATACAACTTTTAATTTTATAAAAATAAAAAACTAAAAATTGATGTGTTATCAAACAGATCCTAAAAATAATTAAGCTCGTCCAAAATTTGACTTTACAAGAACCCGCAATTTAACACTTCTTAACTCTAGTTCTCTCCAGCACGAAAGAGTTGAACTTCAACCTTGCCTCTATTTTTTACAAAACTTTGATAAGGTCTGACCAAATTAAATTATTCCAAAACTAAAAATAATTATTTGCCAACGAAAAAATCGTGAAACAATTGTTTAAAAATTCAACTAATATGAGGGAGGGTAGTTATTCCTTGTGGAATTTCAATGTTGAACGAAGCAATAAGAGGTATTGTTGACTGCTCCATCTGATGGTGAGAACGAAGTACTCTGCTCCCATTGTTTCTATCACTCCCAAATCCTTCTCATTCCTTTCCGTCGATCACTTCCCCTATTGGATTTGGATGGCAGCCTATTTACAATTTTATGTTTATTATTCAATTGGTGATGATGGGATGGTAAAGTCATTTTGCATATAAAAATTAGGTGGCTATGAAGCCTAGGACTAATACTTATATTTAAAACTGATCATTTGTGAGAAAGTCATTATCATTGAATGAATATATTTTCTAGGAACACCAGTCTACTTGATTTCTTACGTGTAAGGACTCATGTTATCTTTATATGACGACGTAAAATAATTTTATCATACATAAGTTGTAATTCGATATGTTCAATCTCTTTTATCATCCTTTAAAGAGCATAGATTTAAAGATTGTTTAGTCATTCATATGAATCAAACAAGTTAACAGTTAATAATAAAGATATAATTTCTTAGTTCTTATATAACCCTAAATTTGTTCGACACATATAGATGACTAAACAAGCTCGAAATTAAATAAATTTGTGTAGAGATGATGTTTAGTTTATGATAAAAAAAAGGTGAAACTATTAGAATTAATTATGACGACGTTTGTACATTAAAATGATTTCCCATCGTTATGTTTTCAGGTAACATATACTAGTGTCAAATGTAAAACAATTGGCAAGATAAATAATTTCATATATTATTCGCAATAAAGATACAATATAATTTGGGTAATGCTATCCATACACCGTTTTTTACCTTTCACATACTCCTGTTAATTTCTTTCATTTGATCATCTTCAATTCATTCGATATGACAGTCAAAAATTAAAAAGTGTGTACAAAAGATAAAAGAGGTGAGTGAAAAACACATTACCGTATGATTTTGGGTGCCCTAGGTTGATAATATTGCACACTGCATGATTAGTTAGTGCAAATCAAAGCCTTCTATAATGATGAACTGGTTATATATAATTTCATGTGTCTTAGTGTCCAAAACAAGCAACATTGAGGCACTAATTATGGTAATTAGCGAGGAAAGAATTTGTCCAATTAAAGCATATACGTCACCCTTTATGCAATGAGAAAAAGACTTGTTGGCCACATATGGAAAATAAGGCACACTTCATGAGAAAAGACTTGTTGCCTACATATGGAAAGTGTCTACATGCATACATGAACAATAAATCACCTACTATTCTTAACATTACCTATAGAAAATTATTCTAGAGAAAACTTTATATAAGTTTAATTTGTTGAGCTAATATGTTACTTAGTATTATGGTTTAGTGATATTTATCTTCATTTGTAAATAAGAAATCTTATGTTTGATTCTCGTCAAAGACAAATTTTAATCACATTATTACTATCTCATATTAAAGCTAAGCTCACCTCCTTCGGTATAATATCATTTGTTCAAAAAAAAAATTTAGCTATTATTAGCAATAGTCTAGTTTTTTAAAATAAGTCTAGTCCCTTAAATTTAAGTATATTTTATTATCAATAATGATTTCTTTAATGATAAAATTTATTATAAAAATTAGTTCAATAATTAAATGATCTAATATCTAAATGATTTTTACAAAAATAATTTTTACAAAGTAAGTAATAATATGAATGATCTCAACTCAATCATAAGCATGAAGTTCTGCAAATTAACCACATAGTAAATAGAGAAAAAAAAACTTCTCATCGAATGAGAAGTCAAATTAATTCCTTACCAAAAGGATCATTCAAATTCCCAATTTACCACCGCACGTGTCCGCACGTGTAAAGTCATGCTCATGCCTTCAACTTCCGCATGCCACAATATCGCTTACGGAAAAGAAAAAGTATACCGACTAAGAAAAAGTTTCCAGACCAAATCACCGGCACGTGTCCATAAGCCGGTTGGTTTTCACCGCTCTTTCTCTCTCCGAGCACAATTTATAAGCCACAGAAAACCCTCCCCGAGAAGAAAGGCAATAAAGGGAGAGATTCATCCAATCCGTTTTCCCAACAATTTCTCTCTCTCTCTCTGTCTCTCTCTCCCCCCCATATCTGTGGCATCTTCAGGCCTCCAATCCTTCATCCAACCCTTTTGGTCCTTCCCCAGGTTTTACTTTTAATATTCTATAGTCTTCACATAATATTCCAATTGTGATATACCAAAGTCTGTGTCTTTGTATATACATGTATCTAGTTGTTGCCTGGTTGGGTTGGTTTGTGAGGGAAATCTGATTAATTTTAGAGGTTATGAGGCTTGTATTTTGGCTGGAATTTGGGGGGTTGTGCTGAATTGCTGTGTATATTCTGTGTATTTTTAATCTCCTTTTTTCCCCTTTGTTTTCAACTTTTTTACTTTCTGGGGTTGGATTTTTAATAGATTTTAAGCTCTGGATGTCGTTAATTTGGGGATTTAGGTTGATGGGTCTGATGGGTTATGCTTAGTTTTTGCTTCAAGGGATTGTTTTTATATGGTTCTTTGACAACATAGTTAGGTTTGGTAAAGCATAATTAGGACTCAGTTTTTAGCAAAATTATGGGGTACTTAACCAGATGTGTATAGGGTAGACTGAAATTTGAGTGGATTTGCAGAGGGAGGTTGGATTATATTTCTAAATCCTCTGTTGGAAAAGGATTTATTGGTGTAAATTAGCTCGATTTCGGGTTTAACTGTCGGAAGTCAGCTGAAACTTCAAGGGTTTGTTGAATAAGGATAATCTGTGAAGTTAAACAAGTTTAGCTTGGTTGAGGTATTGTCACTGTGTAGATAATGGCTGAATCAGTCGCTTCGACATCTCTTCTTGGACATCGACCTCTGTATACGGGAGCCTTCTTGAAGAATTTCTCCAACAAGGGGAGATTTTCAGATAACTGTCGATTTCCTCTAGCAGAAATTCTTGGTAGAAGGGTTGTTATGGCCCCTCATTTGCCTCGATTGAGAGTGGATCAGTCAAAGAATTCATCAATCAAGGCCCTTGCAATGGAACTAGCGAAGGAGACGTATTCATTCAAGGAGGATAAAATTCCCCAGAAGTGGAATTATCCTGCTGATACCAGTGTAGATCGAAAACCTGGGTTGTGGCCACCGGAGAATAGAGCAGATAACCCTTCACTACACAATCCCTTGCTTCGGCAAGAGCGGATGGGGAGTGGTTGGCTAGTTGCCATATTCGAGTGGGAAGGAGTTCTAATTGAAGACAATACTGATCTTGAGAAGCAAGCCTGGCTAGTTCTTTCTCAAGAAGAAGGAAAATCTCCTCCCCCAGCTTTCATGCTTAGAAGAATTGAAGGTATGAAGAATGAACAGGCAATGTCTGAGGTTCTCTGTTGGTCGAGAGACCCAGCACAGTTGAGAAGAATGGCTGCTCGAAAGGAAGACATATACCAAGCTTTGCAGGGTGGAATATACCGATTCCGAGCCGGGTCAAGAGAGTTTGTGAATGTCTTGATGCATTACAAGATACCAATGGCACTGGTCTCTACACGCCCTCGAAAAACTCTTGAGGCTGCAATGGGATCCATTGGTATTGAAGAATATTTCAGTGTGATGGTAGCTGCAGAAGATGTTCAAAGGGGAAAACCTGATCCAGAAATGTTTGAGTACGCGGCACAACTTCTGAAGTTCATACCTGAGCGGTGCATTGTGTTTGGGAACTCAAATCAAACAGTTGAGGCTGCCCACGATGCCCGGATGAAGTGTGTGGCTGTTGCCAGTAAGCATCCTGTATATGAGCTTGCGGCTGCCGACTTGGTGGTTAGGCGCCTGGACGAGCTATCTGTTGTTGATTTGAAGAATCTTGCAGATATTGAGTCTGAATTCGGGTCTGGAGAGCCAGAGTTGGAAATGGAAGAAGAGGAGGATCCGTCTCCATCAACCAGTGTAGCATTCGATGACAATTTCTGGTAACCCTGTAAAATGTATATATGTTTATTTGTCATTTGATTCTTGATGTAGTTTTATATCGACGATGCTGTGTATAAGAAAAAAAAGGGAAAACAAGTGAAAGGGGAAAAAGATTTCGGGTAGTTTGCATTGGACTACCTTCCTTAATGTTATCATGTATCAATGTATGTATTTACTGTACTATATATATATATATATATGTATATGATCAGCACTTGTAATATGTATTTGGCAATGCTTCTGCAACAATTTCTTTTGCTTTTGTGATTGAAATTGTTTATCTTTTAGACAATTAGATTGTAATAGATGAATGGGAACTTGATTTGCGTGTAGTTTAAAAAACTTGGAGCCTTTAGAGGAAAGTGTTAAAGAGTGTGAGGGCATAAATCTATTTCTCCCATAATATTTAGCAGGTACAAAGCTGCCTAGGATTGGATTTGATTGAACGACTCCCTATAATTCAAGCTTCCTTTCTAAGTAGCTCATCTCATCTTCTATCTTCCAAGTCGCGTGAGTTTATTTCATTCTTCCTTTAGTGTACATTGAATATAACGAGTTATTCAATCAAATCCGAAAAACCAAACGAGCCCAAAGGTGGTTTAAGTCTTTATGAAAACTTTGCACCATTTCTTTGATACAAGGAGAACTTTGTATGGAATGCATTTTTAGATTTAGTGAGAGAAGAAAGTAGATGCCTTCAAAGAAATCGAGTGGATCGTGGTGCAAATTGAATAGACTGGGCCAAACTTTGGGGATTATAATTTGGATGCCCGTGTTGGGATCTTTTTGGTAAAACCTTATTTTTATTCCCAACCAGCCGAAACATATATACAAGCTAATTATAGGCCAAAAGTAAACATATGAACAAACAAAAGATGGACCAAAAACAAAATAAAACACAAAATGAGCCAAACAAAAGATGGACCAAAAACAAAATAAAACACAAAATGAGCCCATCAACAGATAGGCCCAAGACCAAAACTACACAATAGAATTTGGAAACCTTTATTGAATTCTTTGCTTCCACTGTTCCACATGATGCATCCAATTCCTCTTCCACTGCCGAGCATCGCCTCATCAATTGCATCTTCCTACTTCAATCCACTCCTCGAGCACAGTAAAACTAGAATAGCTAGCAACTAACGAGAAAAGCCAACTATCAAAATTAAGCTTGTGGAAACCCATGAGCGACACTACCCGTAAAGGCAGACAACATAGAGATGAGTTCTAATTACCCACTGCCTCGCTAAAAGAAACCTAATGGATCATACATCGTGTAAGGTGGAGATTGAAGAAACAACAGAGATGAGTAAGGATAATTAAATGGTTTAATTATTTATGGCTAGGATTAATTAATATGTTAATTAATCAAACGAATAAGTTTGTTTTAGCTTTTGAGTAATTATTGGACCCTAAAGCCCATTGGGCTTAGAACCGTCAAGCCCATTAACTTAAGTTGTATGACAACTTAATGACTAAAGACTCAAAAGGGCCCAAACATCCCAAAACCTTTAGAAGGCAGGCCATATCATGAATGAAAGTTTTTTGGTTCTTTTTGTCACTTAAGTGAAGTGACTATATAAAGGACTTTATAGCCAAAATTCATTAGGGTTCTCTTTTGAGGAAATTGAAGAGAACAAAAGCTCTCTTTTTCTCTCTAGGAGGCCAGCCCCCTTGGAGGGGATTTTCTAGTATCAATCCTCTTCCAAGGTCACTCATATCTTCTTCAAGTCCCTCCTTGGTGTGGAAACTTAGAGGTTCCCTTTCTTAGGAACTTGGAGAATCCATTCAACCATCATCCTCCAAAAAATCCATGGAGCTAAGAAGTAAGGAATGAAGACCCTCTCTCTTGGGTGAATATCCTTTGCTAAGCAAAGAGGTGCTTCAAAGGTATAAAAGTTTCTCAACTCTTTTCTTTAAGATTTGAGTTGAGTCTTGGTTCACCACAACTATTAGACCTTGAATTTCATGGGTAATGTTTTGTTTTTGAGTGCATGCAAGCATGATTCCACCTTTAATTGTTAATTGCATACATAGATGTTGCTCAAATGAACTTGTTTTCATAAATTTTTCCTTCAAGTGGTATCAGAGCCTAGGTCTAGTAATTGGTGAATCCTTTTGGGTTTTGTAGTTCAGAGTCTTTGATTTGAATGTTGTAATTGTTAAAAGCTTTATTCTTGCTTCTTTGAATGTAAATTTTTCTTGAAAATTTGCCATCTCAAACATTGTAGATGTAGTTCATATGAGCATGAATTTTGGAGCTAAAATTTGGTGCCATATTTATGGGGAAATTCAGCCAAATCCAAAGGGTGGATTTTTGGATTCATGTTTGTCTTGTTAAAAGAGTTTTAAAGTGACATTAGGAACCCCTAAGTACCCTAGGATGTTAACCATCTTTTGAGTAGTGAAAATTTTGAGTTTTATTGAGTGAAAACATTCATGGAGATCTTATGGGTTTTCATAGATCTTCTTCAATGTTCTTGCTTTGTTCTTGATGTTCATACCAAGAACAAAAAGTTTGGTGTTTTGATTCAAAGTTTTTGGTTGTTTACATAAAGTCTTGTTTTGTGATGAATGGTGTGACTTTTCAATCAACAAGACACTTTTGAAAAAGTGATTGGAAAGTTGTAAATGTTTTTGAAATTTTGTTAGTCATGGTTGGTGTACATGATTGGTACTTTTCTTTCAGATCCATACCTATTTTATTTCAACAGCATACCTATCTTTTTCAACATACTTGACTTTGAATTTTCATCAAAATCCACCAATTACTCACACTACCAAAACCGGCCACCCCTATAATTGGGGTACTTTTGGGGTTTTTATGCAATTACATAAAGTTTTGATACTTTTGTGTATTTGCACTTTGACCCGAAAGTTTACGTTTTTACGTAAAGGCCCAAAATCACTAAAGGACAAATTGTTTTGGTCCTTTAATGAAGTTTTTGCATTTGTTGAAATTTTTGGGTTCTAGTTGTAATTACATGAAGTAGTGGACTTTTGTGTTTTTACAAAGTGACCTCAAAAGTTTGTGTTTTGCAATATAGCCCAAAAGTTGAGGTTATTGCATTTTGGCCCAAATTAGTTAAGAACAAAATAGTTTTGTATCTTTAAATGAGAATTGGATTTTCATTTCATTTCAATTCTATGGATACAAAAGCCAAATGACAATGTTGCATTCAAGTTTAATTAGTTAAAGCGTTAATTAATTAAAGAAAGGATGATTATGAACCTAAGCCTATGATAATTGAGCTAGGTGAAAGGCCATCTCTCAAATTTGTTTGAACCATGGGAATGTGTAGATTAGATTTTGGAGCACTCCTCTCTTGTTTTATTTGATATGCATGAAATTGGAGTAGTTGGTCCAACGCCCAATAAGAAAACATGCCTTAATGTGATTAAACGCGTAAGTAAAACCAATCATCATCCCTAGACCGAGATCCAACACTAGGCTCGTGTTTGATCAAATCGAAGGTTCATAATCATCCTAAGGCCCTAAGACAACGATATAGTCCATCAATGAATGCAAAGCTTATGTTAGTAGTACCATATACTCTTACTTTAAAAATCGTTTTACAAGCATAGTGAGAGTATCATATACTACTAAATCAATCACATGGACCAATAGTTGTAATAGGACCAAATTGTTTTAATGAGATTAAAATGCATGCTTATATGTGATGAGACCTAAAAACCCTCAACTAAACTGTTATTAAGTTGACAAGCACGAGAGTGCTTTGAACACTCTTTTGTGGCCTTCCACCGTGGTAGGCTCCGATCGTTTGTGACTCATACACCGACTTCACCCTATCATGGGGGAGTACAAAGTATGTGCTTACACTCAGGAGGAGTTCTATATACATACATGATGTTGTGAAGGTAGGCAACAAGAATGATCAACATCATATCATTGTGAGGTTCTCGAACCCCTACCCGAACTTGCATGGTGGAAATGACTTAACTAAGTGCAATGGAACCAACATCATATCATTGTGAGGCATCATTCTCTAGAGGCCAAATAAGATGGGTACTTACATGAGATGTAAATGAGTAAGCGTACTCTCTCATTATTATTTATGCTAGCCAACATCATATCATTGTGAGTTGGGCTTGGTAATAGTGAGCCTCCCATACCCTACTAAGGGTTTCCTCCAAAACTCTCAAATTCCAATGAAGGATATGGAATTTGCCAAAAATAGTGGGTGGTGCTATTTGATTTAAAGATCCAGATCAAATAGCTTATAATCAATCAATTTATATTCGTTATGTATTTATTTACCGATATATTTGCAAACGTTGTCCAAAACTTAACAAAGAAAAAGCTGAAGGCTTTAGTTTCCGGACTTGGTATCACAATCTCATAGATTGTCTTGAATGGATTGTATATGTACCTAAGTATTCTCATCCTCACAATCTTCCTATTGATAATGTATCATTGGAAGAACATGTTAGATAAGTCTATCATAAAGAGGACAACACAAATAACAAATGCTTATTCCTTTGTTGTATGAACAAAGGAACTTAAGAAGATTAGCACAAAGACATGGACACTTTTAGTGTCATAATTCTTCCATTACAAATCGTTATATGAAGAAATAAGAGTTGCTTTGAACAGCCCTTAGTTAACGCAAACACTAGTGCTTGTTTCTTTGTTAAATGAACAAGGAACTTGAGAAGTAAGCACAAGGGCATGGACACTTTATGTGACATGATTCTTCACTTACAAATTGTTGCATGAAGAAATGAGAGTTGCCTTTAACAACTCTTGAAAGTTGGTAATCATGTTTAGAACATAATGGCTGATTGACAAAAATAGTCCATCAACATGGACTTATGATGATTTTGAATCATTGAGTGTTGAAGTGTTAAACCACTTTAGGAGACGGAAACTAGGCAAGGACACTTTTCACTCCATATCCAAATGGTTCACTAAGTGTATTGTAAACTATATAGTGAACAATAACCACACACTTTTCAAATCGATTGATGTGTATAACACAATTGAAATAAGTTTCAAGAGAGATAGTGGGAGTTTAAGGGACAATGACTATTGTAGTCAATGGAGAAGTCAAATGAAGAAGGCGAAATAACTCCAAGGGAACAAACTTTCTTTATGAAAGGATGGACACTGGAAGGGGTATTTGCAAGAAATGTCTTGCAAGTGTCAAGAACACACATTTCGAAGGTGTTGTAAATTGTTCTTGAATAGTTCAAAATAGTTGG